CACCATTATCATCCTACACCTGCATCAGTTTTGTCTTCACCTGACCACCATTATCATCCTACACCTGCATCAGTCTTGTCTTCACCTGACCACCATTATCATCCTACACCTGCATCAGTCTTGTCTTCACCTGACCACCATTATCATCCTACACCTGCATCAGTCTTGTCTTCACCTGACCACCATTATCATCCTACAACCCTGCATCAGTCTTGTCTTCACCTGACCACCATTATCATCCTACACCTGAATCAGTCTTGTCTTCACCTGACCACCATTATCATCCTACACCTGCATCAGTCTTGTCTTCACCTGACCACCATTATCATCCTACACCTGCATCAGTCTTGTCTTCACCTGACCACCTTTTATCATCCTACACCTGCATCAGTCTTGTCTTCACCTGACCACCATTATCATCCTACACCTGCATCAGTCTTGTCTTCACCTGACCACCATTATCATCCTACACCTGCATCAGTCTTGTCTTCACCTGACCACCATTATCATCCTACACCTGAATCAGTCTTGTCTTCACCTGACCACCATTATCATCCTACACCTGCATCAGTTTTGTCTTCACCTGACCACCATTATCATCCTACACCTGCATCAGTCTTGTCTTCACCTGACCACCATTATCATCCTACACCTGCATCAGTCTTGTCTTCACCTGACCACCATTATCATCCTACACCTGAATCAGTCTTGTCTTCACCTGACCACCATTATCATCCTACACCTGAATCAGTCTTGTCTTCACCTGACCACCATTATCATCCTACACCTGCATCAGTTTTGTCTTCACCTGACCACCATTATCATCCTACACCTGCATCAGTTTTGTCTTCACCTGACCACCATTATCATCCTACACCTGCATCAGTTTTGTCTTCACCTGACCGCCGCTTTTGTCAATAAATGTTATCTGGTGATTGTTCCATATCTGTTACTGTCTTTAGTTTGTACATGTGTGTTTGTGGATGTGGGGGATGAGTGATGTGTGAGTTTAGTCCACTGTCTGTGTACTGTATACGGTTATGGAGGATAGGTGGTATATGAGTATACTTGCCTGTGAGTGCTAGTGGATGTGTGAGGATAGATGGAGTGTGAGCTTTAGCGTGATTAATGTGAAGGGGTAGGTGGTGTGAAAGAATACTCGCCTGTGTGTTTGTGGATGTGGTTAGATGAATGGTGTGGAAGTTATACTGGCCTGTGTGTGCTTCTTAATGTGAAGGGATAGTTGGTGTGAGAGTTATACTTGCCCATATATACTTGGGAATGTGAAGGGATGGAGTCTGTGAGTATACTCATATTAACAAGCATATACTCGTAAAGTTTGTTAATGTGAAAGGATAGATTGTGAGTAAGTATATTCGCCTGTGTGCTTGCGAGAGTTCAGAATGAGCTATTGTGTTATTACATATGGGTAAATATTCATGTATATATCTGCCATGTGTGACGGTCATGTAGGTCTGCGGTTCACCAGCAGTAGCAGGACATCATTTAGGAAAGTTGGCTTTAAGCCGTGAATTTAGAAGCCCTTAATAAACCGAATGAAGGCGAATCGGAGGCGTGAGCATACATCGTCATTCAAGCAAAATATTTTAAATTTCTTTATGGTTCCCGTAGTCTATCAGGAAAAGCTTATGTTAATTCTGTCCATCAAGGTACAGTAGTGGATACACATTATTAACTGTTATATAAATAAAAATAATTAAAGGGTAAGCGCAGATCTTATTGAAACTCAGCCACCACCACTTTACTCTGTGTAATTGTTTAATCTATATGGAATATTGGTCAGTGCTGACGGCCCCGTTCAGGACAGGAGAAAAATCAAAGCCGAAGCAAATACAGAAATCGTTATGACTCACATAGAGCCAATAAAACATTTAAATTTCAGAGAATGCTTGAAAGTCTTAAATATGTACTCATTGGAACTGAGATACATGATAATATATACTCTAATATATACTTGAGGGCCTTTTCCATAACCTACACACTGCCATAACAACATACTGGAGTGAGAGATATGGGAGGAAGAGCAAAATACACCCAGTGAAAAGTAAGGGCGCCTTGGGCACAATAAGAGAACACTGTATCAACGTTCCTGGTCCTAGGTTATTCAACATCTTACCAGAAGATATCAGAAACACTACTGGGACAAGTGTAGAAGTCTTCAAGAGGAAACTGGACAAGTATCCTCACCAGATGCCAGATCAACCAGGCTGTTATGAATATGTGGGTCAAAGGCCACCAGCAGCAACAGTCTGGTTGACCATGAAAGCACCAGTCAAGCCTGGCCCAAGGCCTGGCACTGTAAATGTGACCTGACCTGACTAGGTTGGGTCACTGGCTTAATCCGGTAGGAGACTTGGACCTGCCTCGCATAGGCCGGTAGGCCTGCTGCAGTGTTCCTTCTTATGTTCTGATGTTCTTAACAACTCTCGGAACTCACCATAGGTATATTCCCGGGCATCGCTAAGACATTTAAGAAATGCAGTTATGGAGAGATTAGCCATGAAATATAATCACTAGGTGTAACAGGAACAATGCTAAAACTGATATTAAATTTTGTAACGAATAGAACGCAAAGAATACAATAGCAGTCAACTAAAACGAAAATCACTTCCCAAAGGCACAGTCCAGATGCCTTTACTGTTTTTCATCCTAATATCAGATATAGAACCAAAACAACAGCTTATATAATTTTTCTAAGGATGGACCAATAAACCAGTGGAAGGCCTAGGTCAAGTGACCAAAAGCTCCAGCTGCTGGTTATCATATGGATAAGACCCGCGTCATATGGTTAATTAAGACCCTCTTTCCTGACAAATTTTACCTAATCTAAGATTAGCCACAGCATCGTATCAGCCTTAGCGGACGATACTAAAATAAGCATGAAAGCTGCCTCAGTAGAAGGCAAGGGAAATTTTTAAGCGGATTAATAATAGTCTTCCAGTGATAATTGAGATATTCACATTAATTTTAGTTTTCAGTAGGCCTACTGGCTCATCCTACGCAGGCCCTTCTCAGTCCCAACCGTTCTCACTGAAATTTCTGGTAGGTTGTTCCACTAGTCTGTAAATTTGCTTCCAAGTTAGTACTAGTACTCCTGTAACCTTCTATCTCTGAATTTATCTAACTCGGATCCATTGTTTCGAGTTATTTCTTAGTTAGATATTCTCACCTTCCTATTTATATCTCCTTTATTTATACCCGTTTTCCACTTGTATACTTAAAATTAATCATAATTTCTCTCCATCTACGTCTCTCAAGAGCGAGAATACTCACACACACATGTACGCATGCAAACACGTACACGCACATGCATGCAAGTACGCACTCACATGCATGCACGCACATGCACACACACACACACATACACACACACACACACACACACACACACACACACACACACACACACACACACACACACACACACACACACACACGCACACACACACACACACACGCACACACCACACACACACACACACACACACACACACACACACACACACACACACACACACACACACACACACACACACACACACACACACACACACACAAGCACGTTGCACACAGCAGCAGTCAAAAATGTAGATTCATGACCTCACCAGAGTCGTCTATATTTGGTGCTGCTCTGCCCTGGGTGGAGCCACATAGACACTTGGCTCAGGAATGTGTCATTTTTCCTTGGCACTCTTGTTCACGCACACTCCTTTTGTTTTCACCTCAATTTTTTTCCTTGTGTTATTTGTCTTCTGGTCTCTTGTCACATTTTCACCTATTATATCATGCCCATTTCTTTCATTTTTCTAATGCGAATTTTTCCTACTTTGTGTTTTCCCTCTTTACTCTTCGTGTTTTTCACTTTCCTCTTTGGTCGTCACATCGAGTTTTCCTTCGATGTGTTCGTGTTCTCAGTCAACTCATTGCCTCTTAGTTTATTACACACAGACTCTGTTAGGAAATTACGGTAGGAAAGTAGCTGCGAGTGCCTCGTAGCTAAGTGATAAGTTCAGTTCACAACCGAGAGACCCGGGCTCAACCATGGGCGAGGCGAGGCGATAGGCAAGTCATACTAACACCTGCTGCTTCTGTTTACTTACGAGCCAGTTATCTATTGTGGGTCGTTTACTAAGGTTAATCACCTAGAAGACCTCATCAGACAAAAGCCACATTTTGGCTTTACTGGGTTACCCTAGGTTATTAACCCTTCGAGGTTAACAGCCTATATAAAGTCCGTAACTAACCATGACAAAGTGTAAATAAAACAATACTAATTTCTGTCTGGAGGATGCCAGTTATGCATTACACCTGAAGAGTTGGTCTGGGTTTTCCAAGACCATGTTATTTCTCTGTTGTCAGCGCTCCTCAGTTACGGCTGTCACTACCACAACTTACCCTCCTTTCAGGTAAAGGCTTTATTCGGTTTATTAACCCCGGAGGCTTAATGAACCAGGATAACCTAATAAAGCCAGTCACTGACTTATCTTTACTGATGTCCTCGACAGGTCCTTCTCACGAATGTTACCCACAAAAGTCGACTTTTAGATATCTATTTACAACAAGGTAACAGAAGCAACAGTGTTATAAAACTTGCCTTTACATCTTGCCCATTATTCAGCCCGGGGTCCTGAATCAAGAGCTCAAATTTCTACCAAAATGAGCTGCGAGGAGCAGCACTGATCACACTGTTTGAAATACCACCAACACCGTCGGCCCACACGAGAAGCAACACTGAACCCATCACCACTACCATCTCCGACCAATCCATACACACGAGGACCAGTGCTGAACACACAGTTGCATCATCGTCAGCACCACAAACCCACCCTCACACCCACCAGGGCAAGACTCTCGCACCTCTGGCTGCCTCCGTCCATCTGGTGGGCAACCGGCATCGTGTCTTCGAGCGGTGGCCGGTTACTCAAATAGCTCGCCGGATTTTTCCTGCCAGACGAACCTATAGGTTTGTTTACACATACTCTTAGTATAGATGTGAGGGTGGAGGGAAGCTTCGCTGAATGCTGAGGGTCACAGATGGAGGGAAGGGGACGCTGGCTGCAGCAGAAGGTGGGTAGACCACTTGTCGGGACCTCACAAGCACACGAAAGATGAGAAATGTTTGAAACATCTCTCTCTCCTTTTGGAACTGGGCCGGCCCAACCTTCCACTGGTGACGTCACTAATCGTAAACAACGGGGTTTATTCCTCTCTTTCTCCCCTCTTCTTTCCCCTCTCCTTTCCCCCTCTTCCTTTCTCTCTCTCTTTCTGCTCTTCCATCTACACTTTTCCTATTTCTTCCCTTACCTCTCTTCCTTCTCTCCCCATCTTTCCTCCTTCCCATCTACCATTTTCCTTCTCTTCTCCCATTATTCTTCCTTGCCCTCTCATTCTTTCTCTCTCTCTTCGTTCTCCTCTCCTTTCCTCTCCTACTCGGTGGGCTTTACAGACGAGCAACAAGTTATACTGGGTTCAACGGTAATCCTCACTTAGAGATGATTTTTCCATACATTGAGGTGCTTTTTCGCTTAAATCAGGTTTTATATAATTACCGAGGTGTCTGTAGGAGCCTCTGGGGACTTTTAAAAGTGAGTTTTTAACATTAAAAATTTAAAAGGGATTTTTAACTGATGCTAGTTGTTTGAACTCGGCATAAGCAAGCAAAAGTTTACTTAGGTACAGGTACACATACATACAATTATCATACAAAGTGGAAATTATCTAGAACAACCGAAAAAAAGTAAGAGTGACTTATTTCTATTGGCAGCCTTGATAGTATTTACTGTTGATATACCTTTGATATACCCGTGAGGGGTTTCGAGAGTTTTCTTACTCCCAGCCGGCTCTGGGCTAGGCTGGTTTGATGCTTGCCTGGTCGATCAGGCTGTTTCTGCCGGAGGCCCGTTGGCCCACATATCCATCACAGCCTGGTTGATCCGACACTTGGCCGAAGTACTTGCCTAGTTTCCTCTTGAAGACTTCTACACTTGATATTTGACTTTGTTTTAAATGTTTGATGTTTATTTTTATTACCAACATCGCTGAGTGATATACCAGGTCAAAGTGCTCTTCAGATCTTAATAAAACATCCTTACTTCTTCCCTTCCCCTCTTTCTATATTCCCTCTTCTTTCCTCAATCTTTTCTCTCTGCCCTTCTCTCTTCCATCTTTGCCCTTTTCGTTCCTCTCTCCCTTCTCCCTTACACCTATCATTACAGGGTCTTCCTTACCCTGCCATAACAGGGTCCTCCTTCCCCTCAAAACTCCATAAATGTATGCCAGAAGAAAATCAGAATGCAGATGTAATATACACAGACTTTGCAAAAGCATTTGACAAATGCGATCATGGCGTAATAGCCCATAAAATACGTGCTAAAGGAATAACTGGGAAAGTGGGGAAATGGATCTTCAACTTCCTAACAAATCGAACACGAAAGAGTAGTGGTCAACAGAGTTAAATCGGAGGCTGCCATTTCAAATTCAAATTCAAATTCAAAGTTTATTCTCTATAATGATTACAATGTTGAATTTACAGAATTTGGTTGTTGTGTGGTTTACATGTAGTTAAATAATGATTACAGAGTGTATCACTAGAACGCCTAGCATGGCTAGGCATTTCGGGCAGACTTAGTTTAATTCTTTATTTTAAAATATTACAAATTATGAGGTAAGTTGGTATTATGGCTAAGTGACTAAATACTAGTTTGTGAGTTTAGCAATGTGAATGCTTTTGTTTTGGCACAGTACATAGTTTCAGTATTGGAGTATCATAGGATTCATTATTTTAAGATTGAGATTAATATTTCTGTTTATGGTCAAATGGGTGAGTGAGTGTAAGTGTGAACCACCAGGTGGTATTCGTGTAGTTAGTTGATGGGGTGTATCAGGGAGATAAGATGTTTTCTAATGGTAGTTTTGAAGGTGATGAATGTGTCTGCAGTTCTAGAGTTCTCAGGTAGGGTGCCATAGTGAAGAGCTCTGTTCCACAAGGCACAGTACTCGCACCCATCTTCAAGAGAGAGCTGGACAGATACCTAATCAGTGGGGACACCCGGGCTGTGGCTCTTTCGTTGGACTGCGTGCGGCCGCAGAAACACCCTAGTGTAGGCCCTGATTTAGGGAGGCCCGGGTCATGGACCGGGCCGCGGGGGCGTTGACCCCCGGATACCTCCAGGTAACCCCCCTTCCAAAACGGGTTTTCCCTTTTACCCTGTCATAACGGGTTTCCTTCCCTGCCATAAAGGGTTTTCCTTCCCCTGCCTAACGGGGTTTCCTTACCCCCCATAACAGGTCCTTCCCCTCCCAAAAACGGGTCCCCCTTCCCCAAATAATAAGGCTTCCTTCCCCTCCCATAAAAGGTCTTCCCTTTTCCCCCCTAGCAGGGTCCCCTTTCCCCTGCCACAACGGGCCCTTCATTCCCTGCCATGCGTTTTTTTCCCCCTTGCCAAACGTCCCTTCCCCTCCCATAACAGAACCCTCCTTCCCCTTCCTTAACTGGAAGGGGTTCCCTTGAGGGTTGCATTTGACCACTGAGGTGCGGGGGAATGTTAAATACCAAGGCGACTCACTTTTCAGAAGTTTCCCTCGTTTGACCCCAATGCTGTGGTGAATAAATTGGAAGGAAATTAAAACTGGGATTTAGGGGAAAGCGCGGAATACAGGTAAGACAAATTAATTAATGAATACTAACTTTCTAATACAATAAGAATATTCTCACTGACTTGGCATCTCTTGGCTTTTGAAAGTTCTCTTTATCCAACCTATCCAAGGGAAGAAGGGAGGGAAAGAGGAAAAGAAGCAAGAAAAAGAAAAGGGGGAGAGAGGAAACGACGAGTGCAATAGAGGTGAGTAAAAGAGACAAAAGAAATAGATGAATGAAAGGGACAAAGGAGAGGGGACGATGAAGAGACGAGGTAAAGGGGGCGAGGAGATAAAAAACGCGAAATAGAGGGGCGGGGGGGAGCGAGAGAAAAAAAAGGGGCAAGGGGGAAGTGACGAAAGCGAGAGGGGGGGGGAGAGGGGACGAGTGAAATAGATGCATTTCCAGATTTTCTATATTAAGAGAAAAGGTGTTGGGTAGTAAGATAAGAGTAATTGAGCTCCCGGCCACATTCCCTGTGTATATGACCCTGTGTTTCTATCCTAGTTGAGTGCCTTGTAAACAACCTCCAGCAGCAGGTTGCCAGAAATGGGGGGCCCTGTGGTTGACTATGTGCAAGTCTGACTCTTTCGAGTAAGGTAGGGTAAGCGGGCATTTAAAAATCAATGATCGGGGAAGCGTGTAGGAAACCCGACAGGCTATAAACGTAACTCGTGTTTTCAGATTTGAGATAAGGAAAGGGGGAAAAGTGCTTTTTAGTGTCCAGGGTCAAAAAATGTTAACAGCCCCCCATGGCAAAGGGGGGAATTTCCAATGGGGCCCCCTGGAATGCCCTCAGGTACATTCGGGTAGACTTTAGATTTTTGGGAGATTTTTAGTAACCTCTGTGTACTGGGGCATCTCTTTATTGCCCTTTGGAAAATTAAAAAAAATTATCCTGGCATGTAACCCCAGGGGTTTATTGCCCAGCCTGAGTATCAGTACATGTAGTGGGTTTCGGGTCTTGCCCCGGGCCCCGGGGTCTTTTCCTGTGGTGCCCGGGCAAGGTAGAAAATGTGAAATTTTCGTAACCCTGTGGCCCTTCCATTTCCCTTAAGTGCACGCTTACCTTGCATCTCATGTACCTTTTTGGGCCCATGTGTTTGTCCAAATATCGTGTGTGTAGGGCTTATCCAGTATAGAGCTGAGTCTCTTAAGCTGAGATTATAACGGGTTTGGTCTCGCGTTTTGAGTAAAGAATGGGGGGACATCGTCGCAAACTCGTGCAGTTTTTGTAAAAAAATTAATTCCCTTTAAACGGTGTGAATTATAATTATGCATCAACCAGTGTTTTTCTTTTCCCCTATTTTTTTCATCCTTGCCCCTTCCCTTTTGCAAAGTATTCAATAAATTGTGTGTCTGTTCCCAGTTATCCTTTCTTTTCTCCCCACTGCTCTTCATTTCTAGCTCTCCTTATCTCTGCCTCTCCCTATCTCTTCTAGAGGAGGGATAAAAGAAATAAGGGAGATGAGGATAATTTAATGAGAGGAAAGGGCGGGGGATGAGGGAGGCGAATGATGGGGACAGTAAGAGGTTGAAGATGAGGGGGGGAGAAAATGATAGGGAAGGCGAACGGGAATAATAATAATAATAATAATTTTAAAATAATAATAATAATAAAAATAAAAATAATAAAAATAAAAATTTTAAAATAATCTTTATTTTTAAAGTATTTAAATATGACGATAACGAAGACAGCAGACTCAGTGAATTTAATATGAAAGCTTCTTGTTATGCAAAAGATTGGGGGAAATTTTGGTTTTATTTTGTCCCATTTGCAACCCCACTAGTCAACTAACACCCAGGGGTACCTATTTCTGCTAGAGAAAGGCAGCAGGTGTCTTAGGAAACCCGCCCAATATTTCTCCAGTCCCGGGGACGAATCCGGACTCGTGTGTGAACTGGTGGCTCCCAACCTAGCTTGAACCCCAAAAAGCCAAGTGGGGGAAAAGGTGCTGAAGAGGAAAAAAAAGTGGAGGCATTGGGGGGAGAAGCGTGATCAGGGGAAAGGGGGAAGGATTAGGGAGGGAAGGAGGGTGAAGGAAAATTGGGGGGGGAGGGGGAAAGGATAACGAGAGGAAGGGAGAGAGACGGAGGGGGTGGGGGGTTAGCCCAAGGGATTCCCAGAAGCAATTAGGTCATCCATCCGGAAGTGGGGGGAAACTGAGCTTCATGGTGATAAATGTTGGAGTGAGGGGAGTGGGGGGTGAGTGAGGGGGGAAACGAGGGTGAGTGAGGGAGGGAGGGTTGTGAGTGGGTTTACCTCCTCCCTACCTGGGTTACTTTTAGGATTTTCCGGGGTCTGCCCCCCCCCCCCAGTCCATGCCACCCCTCAAGGGATCAGAACCTAATCAACCGGCTGTTCTGGGGGGGGGGGGAACAGCAATCCGTGTATAACCCAGCCGGTGTATGCCTGAGCTGCACTTCAAGGAGTAAGTCTAGGGCCTTCAACTTTCCCCATAAATTGGGTGCTTACTAAA